CCACGAATTCAGATATTTCCGGATAATCTGAAAGGATCAATAAATTTTCTCTGTCAAATGTTTTTTTTTCTTCAGGGGTAATCTATCGGGACTAGATTACTCAGTCTTTATCACACCCTAATAACGACACAGTTTTACGTATAAAATATCCAGAGTGAAGTCATCTTTGGATAGGCACTTTGGAAAATGGAAGACAGCAGTTGGATGTCTGCCAATTTGAGGATCACCAGCCTTGGCATAGATTTAAAATCCTCCGAGTTTTCCGCGTCCCACACGTTCATACAAGTATTCATAGCACTTTTTCATCTAGCTGTTAATCATTCCGCGACATGAATCCGAGAAAAAATTTTTTTCTGTCAAGTAAATACACTTGAGACGAGTAATTGTCCGAGATCTTATCATGAAATCCCCATTTCATCGTCCTGTCACCAACAAATTCGTTTGGCATAAATTTCATTGACAGAACTATTTTTTCCCGTAAAAATTCATTTATGAAAATTTTAAATGGAGAATCGGAGTAGAAATGGCATGACTCTCAGAAAAAATCACAACTGTTCGCACAATTTTAATCAAGCGAATTGCTGAAGGGGAAATTGTACTGGAAATTCGGCTCTGCGTGGTGATTTTTTGAGCTGTAATTCTCGGAGAAATGGAGAAGGTCCTCTCACCGAGGGATTACGTCGGCTGCATAGATTTTACATGAATTTACGTGTAATGAAATTCTACAGTGGAGCAAGTTGGAGGATGGCTGAGCATCGTCGTGGCATCCTGGAATCCAAGTGGCCCAGAGGAACTTGGTGGTTGTTCTCGCCACATATATCCACCCTCATCCCTTCATCCCTACATTGAGTTTAAAAATTGTCTCGTGGTAAGTACATATTCACTGGAATGTAACTCAAGTAAAACCGAGTAAAACCTCAAGTGAGAACCGATGAGTGTAACATTCCTGTTGAGAATCGATTAAACTCTCATTGCTGCATCAGTATGCACCCGGTAGTCGGAATTATTTACGCAAATCCATGTACCTGGCATTTACAGAGGAGTCATGTGCTCCAACTATTAATGCAATAGACACACCCAGGACAATCTCCTCAGCATTGACTCAGATTGGATTCAATGTTTCAGGAGATGTTGCTCCTGATTGTTCATCAATTGATCATTCACTCGATCACCATTCATTGAACCAATTGTAATAATAATTGCTGGACAGGTGCGTTGCATATGAATGTTCATCTCCATTCGAAATCCGCGGTATCCCCTTTAAATCGTTTCAACTTCGCTCGATCCTTGCGGATCAGTGATCCAGAAAGGGCTGGGATAGCTTCACTGATAACCGGCGTTTCTAAATGGATTTTGAACAAAAAAGACTGTAAAGCAGCTGTACAGGATGTCGGGGAAATAAAAGGCTGCGGGTCGGTACTCATACGTCCGAGAAATCGCGGATGTCCGACCTGTCCAATTACTGATGAGACTGCATTTTTCAGTTCGCCGTTGACTATTTTTCATTTTGTTGAGAATTTTGTTTAGTGCCATTTATTATGAATGAGCGTTATCAGTGTCTGAAAAAACCCTCATGACTCCTGAGTGAACGGCAATTCAATTTTTACGTAAAAATAATTAATTTGTTATTATTATTCTTCTTATATAAAATTAAATAATCAAAAATACACTGACTTCCAGATAGCAATACAAATGCATAAATAATTATAAATAATTATTTCTAATCAACATCAGGAATATAAATTATAAATAAATTTATTTATTCAATCAGATCATGTAAATGTAATTTTTAAAACCTGTGTTTAAGAAAATGGAGGATTTGAATTTTGGATTTTGAAAAATATTTTATGAAATTTCTCGGATCGAAGTGAATTGGAGGGATTTCAGTGGCTCTCAAGTAATTTCTCTATATATCCTCGATATCCTGAAACTCGTCTTCTGCTCCCACGTGCCAAGTGGCTGAAAGATTTCATAGCGCACTCTGCATCCGAAATTGGATGGGTTTTCGTATGATGCATTGTTCTCCATTCACTAGCATTGACAAGTGGCTCAATACCCAACGCACTCATCCAAATTCCCATGAAGTTTGGCCCGTGATGCTGCACATCTCCAATGGAAGTGAATTTCAAGTTTGCCTCAATCCTGAATTGCAATCACTGGGTATTGTCTGCTTGAAACACTAGTCTCTGATCTTCAATTCAATAAATCATAATCCTGTGCACTCGGTGTTTACCATTTTCGGTGGATTTTGACATTTAAGGATGTTTAAAAGGCCGAGAGCAAAACAATAGTTGACCTTTTGATGATGACATGAAATATTCAATTATTCATCGGTTGAAAAATCACTGGGGAACTCGTGAACTTCAGATTTCATCGTTAAAATTAAAAGCCAGTAATTGCGAGATGGTTCCATTATTCTACGATAATGATAATGCGAAAAGAATTTTTTTTGTTAAAATTCTATTAGCTCGTGGAAAATTTTTTCCCATTTTGTTGAGACTTATGGTAGAAAGGATAGGAAAATTAATTCCGAATTTTACTGGAATATTGATGAATGGAAAAATAATGCGTACTATCTTCAGACAAAAGCTCATGGGACCGAAAAAAGCAGCAGCAAAGTTTTGAGAGGGCCATTAAAAGAAGAGACGAACAAGAAACTTTCCATCCGTAATGGCAGTTCCATTCTCTTCGGGAGACAGTTTCCTGATAACTTTTCGGATATTAATGATTAATAAAAGTTTATTCCGAATATATCCCGCCTCAGTGAACGAGCTACTCATGTCTTGTTTATGTCCCCATATCAATTATATGGAGTCCAGATGTTTCGACATACTTTTGCCAAAAAAAAATCAATTACGCGGCAAGTAAATTTTTTTTTCATTTCCAATCAATTTAACAATCGCATTTTGAACTTGATATTACAACCGTAAATTTACATGAAAATTATTCCCATTTTTTTCCACACCATTTATTTTCATGGAAATTTGAAAAATGTAAAATGAATGAATGATTGAAAAATGAAAAATGGATTTTTCGATGATGAAGATGTTTAAATTTTCTATCCCTCGAAATTCCAAGAGTATTTGTCCAGTCGGTGGTGACAAGGGATAAAGGAAGGTCATAGAGGGATCATACGGACATGGTTATGTACTGACCTTATGTACTGGTCTTATTTGACTGTCCAACATCACCAGGACAGTTGCACGAGAGCTTTGATGTGGTTTAAACCTCGAGTACTCAAGCTCAAACTTCCTCATTGATAGCCGATTCTCATTTGTCCGGCTAAAGTTTAATCTGTTATTTAAGTTCGATATAAATTACATAAATTCTGAATATATGTGACATATATTCGAATACATTTGAAATTATGTAAATGCAAAACCCCGCTGAAGCGATCACCACTCGATTTTCTTAGCAGATAACACTTCGGGGGATATCTCTAGATCTATTAGAAATGGCCGAATTTTTGTAATCACCATTTTTGTACCTCTCAATTCACTTTACAAAAAATGTTACCACCGAAATTGCGGGATTTTTCGCGGGTTCATAGTTATTTCTCAAAAACTCAACACAATTTTTTTTCCTCTATCATTCCACGACTAAAGTAATCATTAAAAATTAAAATAAATTAAAATCTACAGTTTTAATTAATGTAGACCTAAAGATTTGAGTTCACAATTCGAATCACAGGTGCGACATAATTTGCAAAAAAAAAATACCGGAAATATCAGCGAAAATTTTGGAAAAAATCAGAACAAAAAAGACAAATAATCATTAGATGTAATTTATATTCTCAAATTAAAAAATTAAAGTATCTTCTTCCGTACTTTGAAGGAGTCCCTATCTCTTGGAATTCATAATTTATCATGTCCCCAAGTTTTGAAAAGAATTGTCTCTGAATGAATGACAAGTTTCCCCTCAAGTGCCCGCGAAATTGAAGTTCCTTCATTTGCGATTTTTTACCTCCACGTAGATTCATGTACCTAAATACATACAGTATGTACTCAAATTATATGTAACTTGGCCCTGTGTAAATGTCAAAGTTCAAGCTCCCCGGGCAATTTATTGTGCCACTTCTGACGATCAATATCCGCTTCACACCCGTGTGCACTAAATGTTCATAAGGCTGTATTCATTAAAAATATCAAGATGCAATTTATTAAAAAGACCCCACTAATTACAAAATTGAATAAAAAAATCTGATCAGCCGATTTGAATCTGTTAAATAATTACCGTACATAATAATTACCGTGCAGTGATATTCGATGATTTATTAAATTTTCTTTGAAAATCTATATTAGAATTTTTCCGATGGGTAAAAATTTCCCAGAAATTCTCCAAGAGTCGATGAATATGCGTTTAATGTCTGGAACGTACAATGGACCAGAAGCTTGTGTGCCATCCGGGCGTCTCGATCGATTAATCGATCAATATGGTCAATTGTCCAGTGAGTCTGCAGCTCTTTCAGTTTTATCGTTACAACCACGCCTGCACATCCTCCAGACATTCCTGTACATACCCGATAACGATTTCTCGTTATCGAGATGAATAATACCCCTTTCGCCGGTGAATTTTCCCAAAGTCCTTGGACCCCTTGATGTCGCATAAACCGATGCCGTCGAGAATAATCCGAAGTCCTTGGGGGAATCAGTAAAATATTCCATAGAAAACTCTCGTCTCGTCTCTTTCGATGGAGTTCTGAAAATTAACGCGAAATCTAAATATAAATTCATCGTTGTGTGATCCAGACTTCAAATCAGATCGATTCCAATTTATTGACGATAAAAGATTGATCACGAATTTATTTTAAATGGAGTGTTTAGTTCATTGAGAAAGAAATTGAAAATCAAATGTTAAGTCTATTATTATTACTATACTATTTATGTCATATAAGAAAAATAATTAATATGGGGCGTTTGGATGGGAATTCGTAGCACGTATCAATTGTTTGGGAATGTGTTCGATTGATTAATTATTGTTATTTTTTTATTAATTTCTAGCCGGAGCCGCTCCAGAGGAAACCAACCAAAGGTCCAGCTCTGCACACAATCGCCACTCTCTCACGAAGGGTAAGTATTCAGGACGAATTCCCTCTAATTTCTCATTCACGAAGAGAAATATAAAATTGTAAATGGAACTCACTGATTACCGAATTATACTCGTAATTATACTCGGGGAATTAGTGATGGCGTATCCTTACGAAGAATTACCGAATGCCCTGGAAAATTCCGTTAGAATTTTCACAGCTACATGTGCATTTTTATTAAATTCAGTGTCAGCAAGACAATGAAAACATTTTGGAGTAATTATCATAGTTTAAATAAGTAACACTTCTAGGGGAATTAATAATTCGTGTAATAGTATTTTTATCCATCTCGATGGAGTTTTAGTCATTTATGGGGTGAGTGTTGCATTCATTCTATTTCCATTGGGATTTCGAGTGGCAGTCCTTCGCTGGGTGGCGATTTCCTGGCAAATTAAATTTACAGACAACCAGACACTGAAAGGATTGAATGGGTCGAACCTCTTGGAGAAAGAACTCCAATTCGATTCCTTGGATTTTTCTTCTCAGGAGTGCTCGTCTCCCCGAAGAAGATGAAGAGCTGAATGTGGAGCTATTGAAGGAACAGAAAGATTTAATTCAAAATTGAAAAAAAAAATCACTCAGTTGTCATCAAAATTAATTTTTTAATTATTTCTCTGCTCTAATAAGAGATCAATCCCTTTCCCTTCAAGTGATTCCCTCCAATCTTTCCAACATCAAATTATTCTCCGATCTGGGAGAAATTCTTTTGGCGAAAATAAAAATTCCTGGTGTGGAAAATCTGCGTGTGTTCACACCAATTCAAACACCAATTTTTCTAATGGCAGGGATCTCCAGTGAATAAAACCAATCTATTGGTTCCTCGATCCCATCTCAACAGTTACCTAGAATAAAAGAAAAATAAGAAAAAGGTGGATCCCTTGGAGGGATTCCGATGACGACCACTGAATGGTGGTCTCGAGATAGCGATTCGATCGAGCTCGGATAAAAAAGTGGAATAAACGCCATCGCCAGATGCTGCCAGATATATTTTCCTCGTGGCTATCGAGACATCGCTGAAAAGAATGACCAGTGCAATCGTATCTCTCCATCGATAGTACTCGACCCATTATATTTATTTCTTCCATTTTGTCAGAGATTTCACGGCGATGATACAGGAATTATCCAAGAATAAATAATGAAACGTTTTTTTTCAGTCATTCAAATTAAAAAATTAACATAATAATAATAATCATAATTATTATTATTCCCCAATTTTATCGACTATTTCGATTTTTATATCTTTCTCTAGAAAAATTTGAAAGAACAAATCTCAATTACAATTTGTTTTCAATTCAGCGTTTCCTCGGGGAAATGGAGTTCTCTTGAGCTTGAATTCATTCAGAAATTTAGCAACAAAGCATGGAAAACTATAATAAAAAGAAAATAAAGCGCGAGCTTAAGCAAACCCTCATTTCCACTGGTCCGCGTTGTGTTAGTTAATTTGCTGGTTGTGGGTGTTGGAAAGTGGGTCGGTATCACAATGGAATAAGGGCCCTCTATCATCAGCTTTTGCTGGAGCAAAAGCACTTTTTTTTTCTCTCTAACTCTCACTCCATTTTCTCCTAGGTTTTTCTCCACTTTCCTCGAAGCCCACATCGCCCACTTGACTTACTCACAGCATCATGCATCTTCGGTTCCAGTGGCACCGCAAAATAACGGATTTCAGACTGCCTCCGAGGGAAATAAAATAAAGAGAATGCCGGTGACGGAAAAGTTGGAGAATTTTTTCTCTACCTCAGTCGACTTTTCCGTCAATTGAGAATCCTTTGAGAGTGGAATATACTCGGAGAGAATATTTCAGAGTTCAAAGGAATTACCAACAGGCTAATTTGAATATTAAATATCTTCAATCGAGTTGGGATAGTTCTGAGGATAATCGAGTGGCTTGAAGAGGGTCGAGCCTGCAACATTACATTTTGTCATATATCTTTTCAAGTCTATCGGAAATTTCTTGAAATTTCACTCACAAGGTCAATAACATTCAGTGTTTTACCTCGTTATTCACGAATTACCAAGTCATAACATCGATGTGGAGACATATTTATCGAAATATTTTATTTTCTATATATTAACACTTTTTTTGACACACGATGGAAAATTTATGGCAATTGGTTACGGGTTTGGTTGACTTGTTAATTAATGTCAGGATGATGGAATGCGATCCTTGAGTAATAAATAATTAATCTCAAGGCATTTATAGAAAATTCAATGCCTCGGACCTTTTAATGAGACCCGGAAATAAAGCCCGTTTGCTAGCCCCAGTCTCGTTCTGCCACCCGTGGAAAATCAAATTTTCTCAATTGGCATGGCAAATGGCTTTGGGCTTGACATTCCCCTGATTACAGCCCTCCGGACAGTGACGAGACATCACCTCTGGTCTAATTCAATCTTCGAGATCGCCAATCGCTCTCACATGCATATTTATCGGAATATAAATCCCATTTTCACTCGACGGGGGATTTCATCCCTTTCTATCCAATTTCGATTCAGTTTTTCACCGTTCTCATCAATTGTCAGGAGAAATCGTCAATAAACCCATGAATCCTCAGCAGAATTGTTGAAACCAGCGAAGTCTACAAAAAAATCACCAGAAAATAACATTCATCTCTTCATGAAGTCTCCCATTAAAAAAAAATTGGGAAATTAGGATAAATAATATTTTCTCTATGTGCACATTTTGCAACTTGAATTCCTGCGAAATTCTTGCCGAGTCATTGTTCAATTGGTCAATTACTTGTTGATGACACTAACGAGGGCTCCAATTATTGCCCAAGGAACAACCCATCCTCGAGAGCTAGTAGAAGTGGAGAACACTCGATCGGTTTCAATTCACATTTTATCCCTGACACTCCCAATCACCGAGTGGAAACAATGCCCTCACCGAGTCATGCACCCAAACTAATTGCAATTACGTGTCGTCTCACTCAGAAATCTAGTCGTTGGGAAATGAGTTTGATTATAATTTAACTCGTGGATTTTCAATTTCCTCCCCAGAGCAAACGATGCATTGGTTTGCTAATGTCGGTGGTGAGGATGAATCTATCAATTGGACAGGTAAAAATACAGGGCATGACGATTTGTTTATGCATGGCGATGAGTTGTCAGTGATAAATAACAGAGTTAAATGAAAACACGAATATTTATTCTGCAAACCTGTGAACAACAGAGTAAATTTAATTAATGGATGTCTGTTGGCCTCTGGATTTATCACTAATCCATTTTGATTGCGAAGAAACCGCCGGGATAATTAAACGTATACATCACAGGATCAACTCCAGGGAATTGATTGCAAATAGAACTTATGACTTTGAGTGAAAACTTTAGTTTGTCTTTGTTAATTTATTCCTGCATGGACCTATGCACTGATGAAAAGAAAAATTTGATAAATATATTTAATTCCCACCAGTAAATCTGTATAAATACCACAAGATATACTGATATCAAATATATTTTACTGGTTAGCAAAGAAATTTAAGAAAATAATTTTCTTTTCTCGGTGCGAATTCATCCCCTGATGCAGCCCTTAATTAATACTCTCATCATCCAGTTTTTACAGCATTAATCAAATTTCAGATTTTATTGAGATAATTTTTAAGTATTAGTAGATGAATGGTGAATCGTTGAGTCGATTTTCCGATTTAAACCGCAAGCGTTTAAACCACGAAAATCGACCTGTTTTCTTCACTTCACTACGAAAATCACTCGGATTTTTCTCCTTTCACACATCATCATGTCATTGCAATATGATTTATATTCTCGACAGATTCCAAGCGTCGCAGTCTCTACGACGAAGACTCCCTAGATGGTGATCATCCCAATGAGAAACAAGGTATCACATTTATGAACCAAACTACACTGTTCAAAATTTTTTCGGCGTTTTTCGAAAATTAAATCTCATTATAATAACAAAAAGGCACTCATAAATTTCGACGAGTGGAATTGACATTTCGAGAAGCTTTAAAAATAAAAAGTCATTAATTCTCAATTTCTCAACATCTGAGATTTAGCCCTGGAGATGAAGATGGAGATGAAGAAAAATTTGTTGAACAGTGCGAGTTACATTTTTCATTGTCCCCAATGTGTAATTCACACCTCTCTGCTAATTTCTGCTTCATTTAAATTTCACAAGAATGACTTTAAACAGTCTATCTCTCCTGACCCACTCGTTTCTCCTCTCACGTGTTCACACAATGTCAGAAGTCCAAGCACATGATACTGTTATCTAACACTGAAGATTGTTTGGTCGAGGCAAATGAAGGAACAATTGTTGCAGGACGAGAGTCCACGGGGAGTGCAAAGGACCTAGACAGGGTGAAGCTGGTGAGGGAGAGGCAGAATGAAGAGAGACAGAGAAAACTCGAGGAGCTCAGGAATCAGGCACTTGCTGCCCAGAGGTTCAGGGAGCAGAGGGAGGAGGAGAGAAGGAGACGCATTGATGAGCTGAGGTCGAGGGACATGGATAGGTAAATTAAAGGAATCATCATTTTATACCGTTCACCCCATCTTCCAATCATCAGCTCGAAAATATTTTTCTCTTCTCACGTTATGGATGAATACATTGAAACAATTATTTAGATCGAAAAATATTATTCGGATTCTCCACCTGTAGAACCCTCAGACAATCTTCATTAGGTTTTAAATAAAACTATAATTAAAACTTTTAATTATAGTTATAGTTCATTTTGATTATTCATTCAATAAAAAGACTTTACTCACATAATTTGGAAATGAATAGCTGATTAATCAATGAATGGATATTGATATCAGGAATTAAGGTCTATATCAATTTCACTTGTTAGCAATGGTTTGTTATGAGTTATTAGATTAATTAATGATTATTTCATGAATTGAATTGATTGATTTTTAGACGGACCCAAGTGGAGGAGAGGAAGCGTCTGATATGGGAGGCAGAACGAGAACGGAGAGAAGCGATACTTCGAAAGAATCAGGAACGCGAGGCTCGGATCGAGGCGAAGAAGAAGAACGAGAGATCGCATATTGTGTTTGCATTTGGTAGTTCAACCCCACGTATGTTGGAACCAGCGGATACCGGTGGTTCGTCATTCTGGGGCACCCGCAGGGCTACATCGACGACAAATGTCATGATGTTTCCAGCAGCACAACCACTCACCAGGCGATCATCTGAACGAGAACTCGATGGTAGCAAGAAACGTGCCACTTCGGCTGGTGGTCTTGATCGCAAGCCTGGTGAAGGTAGGTCTTTCATTGTTTTATTTAAATGTTTTTTTTTTGTCTCGGAGGTCGCAGCCTGGGCCGAATTTCGCCGATTACTCAGGTCGGATGTTAATTATGTTCAATTCGTTATTGTTATTGATATTACGCTATTTCAACGCTGTTGGTGAGACATTTTCAGGCTTCAACACAGGTATGACTATCTATCAATGGTAGAGCTTGGAGTTTTGCTAGTTATTTGTCAGTCCTTAATTCTGTGATTTATATATTTACGGATTAGTATTACTCGTGGTCAGTTGCACTGTTCAATATTTTTTGGGGGATCTTCCAGAGGGAAAATATTTTAAAATTAATCGAAGAGACTCGGAAATGCCTAGACTATTTTAGTTCTGTCTCATTTTTTTAGGATTTATCATAATTTCATTTCGTATAAAATCAAATTCTTACATCCTGATTTATCACTTCACTCCTCGAACATTGACATCGCCATTACCTCGGAACTCTCATAAATTCGGCTCAGTGTTCTCGACCTTCACAATCACCTACCCACACTGTCAGAAAAAGGATTTCCCATCAAAATATTATTCTCTTGTTCCAATAAATTAATTCTCGAAACAAGAGAATACATTTTTTTCATCAATAAATTCTCATTCATTCTTTCCTCGTACATTCAAATGTCTGATAATTTTTAAATACTAAATAATTTCTTGAAGCAAGTCGAAAGAACAATATTAATGGGAAAATCAATTTATTCCTGAGTGACAACACGAGAATCCTGAAATTCCCCAGTCTAGAACATTCGCATGACAGAATACAAAATCTTGTGTCTCAAGATCTGATTGTCCCCATGTGTTTCCATTATCGTTAATTTTCTTTCAGTTAACAGTGACTTAATTCCTCAACGCTGTCAATAAAATTATGTGATTCTTCTTGTGCTCACGCCTCGAAGTTCACGCAGAATGGTTTCGGTGGCTTTCTTAGTTGCATTGATGCACATATCACACGTTTTCACATCATGTTTCAGTCATGACCCACAGAAAATTCGAAGAATAACTCCGAGTCAGGAGAATTGAGCGGCACAAAAAAGTACACGGAGAAAAAAGTTTTGGAAAAATTGCGTGACAACTCGCGTAGCGACAAAAATCTTATCATCATTTTTTTCGGTTAATTAATCTAATTAATTCAAGAATTATTTGTTTTGATGTAATCTTCTTTGTTGGGAGGCGTGCGGGTTTATATATTCTAGTAAATAGTTAATCGAAGGCGCTAGAATTGTCCCAAAATTGATATTGTGACTTGCGCTAAATTTTTTAATGGAATCCATCGTTTTTATTCGCGATTTCCACCGATTTTATTACATAGAATTTTTTTCAAAGGCAATCGCTTACCTCTTTGCGATTTTCGTAACGCAATTTTAACGCAATTTTCATGGTAATTTTGATGAATTAATTTTCTCCGTGTATCATTATTTGGTTGGTTAAATTTTTTTGCAGATATGAGAATGTCCTCGTCAATGTATGAGGTATTCAATTGGAATTCTAGTCCCGATCCTTCTTTAACTCATGCAAAAAATAAAAGGGCCAGCCTATCGCTGCCTCCCACAACTGACATCTTTGCCATCGATGATAAATCGGATTGTGATACTAGACGTGCTACCGTACAACGGCCGGCCACCGGTGAGTGCTCGATAACGATAATTATCGAGGAGTTCTGCATCCCGGGGCATCACAATTATCACACTCCACGGAGAGAAAAAAATCGCTGAGAACGACACGAAAGTTCCGTAATCCTGGGACGAAACCTGATTGATACACAATTATAACTCCATTTTTTATCAATTCCAGTATTTACCAAAAATACCTGTCAACTCAGAAAGGAGTGATTTTCTAATAAATCCCTTTTTTGCGCAATCATCAATTACGTGCTTAATCCAGAGAAATAAGTTGTCATCAAGAACAGGATTACGGAAATTTTCCGTTTTCGCGTAATTTTCCGTGACGGATTATACACTGAGAAAAAAAATGATTTCTTTCGAATATACAGATACTAGAGACAAGTATTTTTTGCAGACGTCTTGGCTGTCACTACTGCACATTTCCAGTCAAGAAATTTCCAAAGATTTCCCGCTAAGTTCCCATAACGATAGCTACATTTTGTATGAAATTTTCCAATAATTCTGCGAATTAATGAAGCAAGATAAATTATATTTTTGGCCAAATCCTCGGTGTCAGTTTTCAGAAATTACTGAAATGTACGTACGATTATTTCTCAATGGTAATTACTATCATTACTGAAATACTTATCTCAAGTAAAGGAATATTCGTTAAAAAAAATATTCTCAGTGTATCCATCAATAATTCCCAGCGATCGCTCTTGTTTTTGTCTTAAATAGGCCGGAATGACTTGTCGAATGGCTATACAATACTCGTTAGCATTTTTTCACGCTCATTACGTATGTTGCATACTGCATTACACAACATCGCATGTATCATCGCTACTGTCAGCTGTTTATTCCGGAGTGTACACGAAGAATAGTCACAAATCATAAAATTTTTTTACTCGTTTCGTATTTCTTTTTGTTGGTATACAGCAAACGAGTTTGCCTGCTTAAGCATGCCGATGAAGTTTGTACCGCTGTCTACCCAAAACTTGTTCACTATTCCACATGGCTTTTGTACCCTAGACAATGAGAACATTACATCGAACTTCGCCACAACAGTGTTTGTCTAATCCTCATACCCTTGAGAGAATCTTCAATCACCTCTTCATCGTGTTGGCGTCAACACGAGTTTTTCAAGTTGCTGGTCATTCAAGTGGAATTTCTCAGACGTTGAAGATTAATTGAGACTATCTAAAAATGAATAATTAGGGCAAACAAATTATTGATTATATTATATAAGTCATTTGTTTGAATCACTGACCCTTAAAGTTTTTTTAATAATTCGAGACATAAATTTTAGCTGTTCATTTATCATTATTGGAAAAATCTGGGCAGAATAATTGTTTCATTCTTTTCTAGTTTATTTAATTGTTTTTATTTTTAATTGTGAGAGAGATCGTTCTATTATATTTACAATTTTAATATTATAGATATTTTTAAATATATTTTTTAATGAAGGAAATCAATCTTCGACGTATGAAAAATCTCACTCGTAACTTCTTGCAACTTCTAATCTCACAGTACACGAAGAAAAATTGACAGCAGAATTTATCCTAACTCAATAAAAAAATTTTCTGTGCTCCTCTTTTTCCACCAATCTCTGAAGACGTGTCATTAAAAAACCCCTATGTTTGTCCTTGTCAGTGATAACCAGTGAATAGTTGAATAGCAATTGTTAAAATTTTATTGCGTTCTCTAGGGAGTTGTTGACGTTTTGCTGCACTGGCTGTAGATGTTGTCTGTATTCAAGGGGAAAAATTTTCAGGTGATGATAACGATGGAACATCGGGTAGCCCAAGCTCAGTTTATCTGCGTGTTAATCGACGAAGAACTGATCTGATGCCAACGATACCGTCTCCTCGGGACGGAGCGATGTCATCCCGTAGTTCAAGTGCTAAGGCGTTCACACGTTCACCAGGTAGGACTTACTCAATGTCGAGACTGGATCAGCTTTCACAGCCACGGAAGCCACGCATTAATGAGCTCAGCACTCTTAATGAGCAGCGTCAGAATGGGGGACAGAATTTGGGCGCAAGCAGCATGAGTCGAAGCATGTCGCATTTGGCTGCGCCCGGTTCCAAAACCCTCAAAAGAACCGATAATTCCCGTAGCATGGGCACATTACCAGGTGCTGTACCATTACTTAGGCCGACAAGAGCTGAAAAATTGAGGAGAAAGGCCAGGGAACAGATGCACCAGCAGCATCAAGGTAAGGGCATGCTCTTTGTGAATTCAACTCTTCGATTTTATAGAACGCTTTATCTTAAGGATATCCAACAACCCTTATCTTTTCAAACATATTACATTAATCAAAATTTCTCGAAATTCGAGGCACTCAAGCATGTGAATTATCGATTGTATGAGTTTTAATTCAATTTCGAGTTAAAGCCGTCACTCAGTTTCACATTTTTTTTTTAATTTATCAAGAAAATTATGGCTGGCGATTATTGTTAGTGTTGAGAATTACAGATGCAGATTTTTCACTGACGAATCAGGGAATTCGTCAATTCAGAAATCCCACGCGACTTTGTTGTCAAACAAAATTCAAGTTTTGTTCCACTTGAAATTTTGAAATTTCAAGTGCAATTTTTTAAAATTCCAAAATTGTCTGGATATCCTTAGCTCAGAGATAATTTCCTACCGCATTCCACGCTAGAGACGTCATTTTGTCGATGTGAATTGCTTCAATTAATTTTTAGCGTTGATTTTTAATAGCTAATTGTATATATTTGAATAATGCTGAGGAGTTGGGTACGCAAGTACTTGAGCATGAATTTTATTTGAACGCGAGTGAGCTGATATTAATCAATGATTATTTACAATTCAGTGGGGAAGTTAATGAGCTCAGGGAATTTTCCGGTGAGATTACCCAGAAATTTCGTAGGACAATGATAGAGTGAGAAAAATCGAACGTAAAAAGATCCATTCAACGTTCATGATAACTTTTTCCGGGTCCTACACAAAACTCTGAAAAAAGTTCAATTTATTTATTTATTCCAAATCTTTTATTTTTATTCAAATTATTGCAAAGGTTTTTCCAGATAACTCAACTATTCAGACTAAATAAAAATCGCTCACCACTAAATTCAAAACTAACAATTTTGAATATTCCGCGATATTAATCTTCAATATTTACTTACATTGCTAATTTGCTAATAATAACTACCGAATATAATTAATTCAGTAATCAAAAGGTAAAGGATAACAAGATAATGTAATAACAGTAGACAAGCTCCGAAGTTCTGAGAATAATTTCAGTTAAATTCGGAGATATTCCTTGATAATTATATCAAAGAGCAAATGTATCTGTTACCTTTAGCTTTTGCTCCTAAATTATTCTCTCTGACATTTTCTATTGATCATTGATTAACAAAGCTCACATCGCCATCAATATATCTTACCCACGAAGACGCTTTCCCATGTACCGAAGGTGGAGGGGATCCTCACGGTAAATAACGACAAACAATTCGGTAAGGTGACCACAAACTATTAAAAAAAAACCTCAACGAGAAAGAAATTATATAAACTTGTATTTTAATGTGCAATGACCAAAACAAATTCTTCCTTCATTTAATATAATTTAATAATAATTTTTTAATGATTCTCCTGATTTCAAAGAAATACCAACAAGTTATATAATTTCCGTTACCTCTTTTAATTTTGCCAATTAATTCGACAACAACCAACACAATAATCAATAGCACCGACAGCTGGTGGCGGGTGTTTTTTTACAGAAATAATGAATGCAAAAACTTTCACGCAAAAACGAAATTTAGAGAGTTAGAAATCAAGTTAAATGATCTGTTGTTAAATGGCGTATGTAACACTGAAGATGATAAAAAGTACCATTAAAAAAGCATAAATTACGTAAAAAAAAAATGTATATATCTCTTTACGGTGGAATTGCAATGGATACTCAGGTGTACGTAGTGGTGAGGTGACGCCCAACAGTCCATCGAGACCCCACAGCTCCATGAGTCAACAGAGTGGCAGCAGCGTGGCCAGCAGCAACGTCAATCTACGTCCACGAACATCTACACCACGACGTCCACGACCTGCATCTATTGCTGGAACTGGTGTTACAGTCACAGAGAGAAACAGTGAGCATCGATCTATTTTTAAAACGAAAAACACCATTTTTAATTCTGTACTGGAGTGGTAAAACGAGACAAATTGAATTCCAAGCACTAGCTCGTACCCGTCATCGATTTCTATGAATTTCGAAAATTACTGGAGATGGAAATACAAAAAAATATTATATGAAATTATAAGGCTGTCAGCAGATGTTATCTTTTGATAGTTTATAATTAGGAAAAACCGTAACAATTTTACCACTTCGCTACTGAATTTATTCAGTCGAATCCAGGTGGAGAATCGCCACAGAACAGCACAGAACAGAACTGAATAGAACTGAACATAATTCATTACACGAGATGGCAATTTTTATCACAACTACTCGTTATTTTTTTCACTCAAACTCCAGCTCTGCTAATTTTTTTTTCTATTTTTTAATATTTTATTTAATCCATTTTTTAAATCTATTCTTGGTTTGCTTTATATTTCTTTATTCCGCTATTGCACATGTAAATACAAATGAGGAGTCATTGCGTTACTGGGTTTTGAATATTACATGATGATGGATGAAATAAATTCAATGGAATTGATCATTTATTGTATTTTAAGAACTCGATTAATTTTGATGATGATTCCACTGGACTCATTGAATTGAATAAAAAACTGAATAAATTTCTCCATCCTCATCTCACGATATTCAACGAGACTCCCCTTGAATTTTTAAATTAATCCCGAAAAATTCCAGATTTGGGTGAAGTAAAGGGTGCGACGAAGGACTCAAAGCCCCCACTGCCAAAGGTTCACACGACTCCAAAGAAACCCTCAACACCTAGATCAAGTACAGAGGCCCCCAGGAAGCCAAGTGATAGATTGATAAAGAGTGCAAAAGCATCACCACGTGTCACACCGAAAGCCACCCCTCTCCAGAGTCCTGGCACCGAACAGCCGCCCCTCATACGTCAGAATACCACTGAGATAATAAAAAACGATAGTAAAGAAGTGAAAGAAATTAAAGCTGAGGAGAAGCAAGAGGAGAAGATAGATCAGGGCAGTGAAAAATGTGAGGATATCGTTGAGACAAATAATCCCATGGTGGTGAGTGTTTCTTCGGTTGAGGCAATCCCAGTGGTGCAGTCCACTCAGGAACTATCTTCGTTGACACCGAAGGAGGAAATTGCTGAGAAAAAATCCTCCCCGGAGCCGGAGGTCAAGCCCGAGGGCGATGTCGAGGAGATTGTTGATATGTCTGCTTCGATGATTGCTAAAATCCGGATTACCACTGAGGAAGAGGCCAAGGCAGCACTTGCTGAGCGCAGGAGACTCGCCAGGGAACAGGCCGAGAGAGAGGCTGAACTCGAACGACAACGTTTGGTATGTAATCTTCATTGTCTCGAGTTAATTAACTATTTTATGGGCTCTAGAGCAAATTAAGGTTACGCAGATAAATTTTTCAAACTCTTATATCTCATCTGCACAAATGTCTCAATTAAAGTCGGGAACAGGAAAATAATTAAATTAATTTTTTTTAATATCTACACTATTACATAGTTCTCTCATTTCCAGCAGTTGCAGTTGCACCTCAATTATAAATATTTTTTTTTATACGAAGAGAGCAGCAGAATAATGCTGTAATTTTTTGTAATCGATTCAGACAATTCTGATTAGATATGAATTATGTTTATAATAATTGTAATAATTATTGTCGATAATGGGAAAAGCTCTTTTGTGGATGCGGAAATTGTGCAATTATTTTTTCGTCGGCAGGAGGAAGAGGAGCGTCTAGAAATGGAGAGACAACGCGCCGAGGAAGAGGAACAGCGTCGCCTGGAGGAGGAAACTCTCCGTCTGGCTAGTGAAGCTCGTGAAGCCGAGGAACAAAGGCTGCAACTGGCAATTGAGGATGCTAAACGCCGTGAGGAAGAGGACAGAAAACGACGTGAAGAGGAAGCTAGACAAAAACTGGAGAAAGAAGAGGCTGAGCGCAAAGCGAGGGAGGAAGCTGAGAAGTACGCACTCACCGATCAACTTGAATTTAATCTGTTTATTGTAGTGATGTTAATGGCTCTTTTATTCCTGAATCTCTCATTTACTTTATTTTTTCTAGACAACGGCTGGAGATGGTTGAGCGACTGAAAAAGGAGGAAGAGGAGCGTATTGCTAGACGTAAACGAGTCGAGGCTATTATGAAACGCACTCGAGGTGGAAATAATCAAGCTAATACGCCAACAAAGGTGAATTCATTACGCATCTTATTAAATTCAGTTTGAAATCATTCTCCCAGCATGACAGTGATTTTTTTTTCATTGAATATTTTCATGTACTCTTCAACTCTTTTATTTTGAATTAAGGAGATTCTACTGTACGTTCAAAATTTCTCCATTTCAAATAATCAATTGAGAACTAAAAATTCAAAGAAACAATTAAATAATAAACATGATTTATTTAATTGGGGAAATATGAGGAATGATGATACGTGAATAGTTATTAAATAAATAAACTTTCCCATTGTTTTAAAAGAAATGAAGAACAAATGATCGTTATTATCAATGGAATAAATAGAAAATGTAGCTGATAAATGCTTTCAGGGTGACAACGGAGATGACAAATCAAAAGATGACAGCCCAAGTGAGGAGTGCAAGCCAATGCCGGGAAACAAAGCAGAGGATGTTATGACGGCGAGTCTAATCTCTGAAGCTACTCAACAATTAATAAATGCTGAGCAGCAGGATAATCATCCCGGAAACAATATCTCCACAGACATTGTGCGTAATGGTACAACGCACAGCAATGGCATAAACGATATTAACAAAGCTCTGCTTGAAAATAACCAGGGCAACGAGGGTGAATTAAATGGACATCATACGAATCATGGAAATGGCATCAACAGTCAAATCACACTCGACAATGCAACTGTGTAAGTATGAACAATCAAGAGAAAGTGAGATCAAACGAATGCATAAATCGAAAACTTATCATTTATTTTATAATAAAAAAATCACCGGAATGATGATTTCGTCGCACGATTTTTCTTTACGATCATCACTTCAATAATATGATTAATATCAAATCATCGATGCAATGATAATTACGCCAATTTATCTAAAATCTATAAATTCAAATTTCAATCAAACCAATATTAACGAAATCTGTTGTCGTACGATTGATTACGACATTACAATTTCTATTGCTGATTAATTATTCGAGAATACAGCACATCGTAATCTAGTTCACTGGAGGTTAAAATCCAGGAAAAATTCAGGATTAAAGTTGATTTGTTGGAGATGCTTGAGGGATAGAATGTTTCTACTATTGAAATCATTAAAGTGCTGTTTGTATTCGTCCGCTTGATTGTCACATAATGATGTATGCAATTTATTTATTATTGAATTATCGATAACGATTTAAAAAAAAAAACAGATACTGCCTGATAAAAATGTTGCTCAGTGACATTATCACTGTTATGTACTGTACATTGCAAAAGTAGTCAGAGTAAATAATTGGATTAACGGATATATCGGTCGATAATTAAAGTCTGCGAATTGACTGCTGTGTGCATTAATTGATGGATAATAATTGTTGAATCACATTTATGTCATTGTGTATTATATTAAAATCAATTACAGTGGACTCTCGTTGTAGTCGCATGAATGGAGGCTATAACTACCACGTGTTCGCTCCGACCGTAAACTGAATTTTTCTCATAGCAAATTCAAATACGAGGGAAATTAATCTTTCGGTTTACTTTCCACGGAATTCAATTCCTCACCGGCATAAAGATGAAACAATATAGATTGTTTACATCTTGTAGCCCGGAGTGGAGTCCGGGAACTGAATGGTACCCGAAAAAAGAAATTGAGGAGAGATGCCACAATAACGAGAACGACTATAACGGGATTCTACTGTACACATATATTTTGTAACTGATATTCAACAGGGAATCGAGAGAAAAAAGAATTATTATTTCAATGGGAAAATCACTTACGGGAAAGATTCTAGGAATAAGCGGTGTTTCCATTTACTTCGAGAACTCTTTCTCTTACAATAATCAAATGATGTTCTAGTTTCTATTACTTTATGCATTGGATTTTAAAAAACGATTTTTTTGGAAAATCCTCTTTGGATCCAAAAGCGTTCAAAATGTAAAACTTTTGCTTTCAGAATTTTTTTATCCCCTGCAGTAAAAATCAGGTACCAAAAACAAAAGGGCATATGTACCGTTCTTCCGAAATTTTTTTCATAATACTAGATTTATCGTTTAATTCTCACGTATACATTACGTTTAAGTGAAGTGAAAATGATTTTTTTAAGGGAATAATTAATTTAAAAAAAGGGACATCGAATTATAATGATTTTCTTCTTGAGATAGAATTCTTTTATCTCAGAATATCAAGTGTTATCACTGTTGCTAGGATGATAGGTCGAAATTGCTTCTAACCATCTGTAAACTATTGATGCTAACACCGATAAACAATGCGCGTCTATTTAGCCTTGTTAAAAATCAAGATTTATGTCGCAATAAAGAGTGATGTAGGCGTTAATGGAGAAATGATACTTATGGTATTTAAACATGAGCAACTCTTAATACTCCGAGGAAGTTTCAGTCTTATATTTTTTAATGTACATAATGTAAAGTCAGTTAAATAGTATAAACAAAAATTAATCATCATGGAGATTGTACATAATTTCATTGAGAGTTCAGCAAAGAGGAAATCCATATAAATTGTTTAATCGAACTCCAATTCGATAATTCCATTTGCTAAACTCACAGCCGATCGTTCCTTACTGTCACATATTTCATTTAATTGATTAAATATCTTCATTCTTCATTAAATTTCAGTCTAGTGCTGAGTAACTTTGCATGCTCTCTTTTACTTTTATTTTCAGTTTGGAATCACTGTTGTTTTATTTAATAAAAAAATTCATCTGTGCTGTTGATGATTATTTATCATCGTAGTCGTGTCTATTTACTGCCTACTTTTGCCGTGTACTCATCGTCAAGAATAATTGTTGAGATGATTAATGAGAGCATTTAGGATTGAATTAGAGGTGTAGTTTAGATGCTTGTTTAATTTTTTTAGTTTACTTTATGATTTTGGGGATTTTATAGAAAACAAAACAACGTCACGAACAACCTGTTAGACCTATCAGAGTTTGATACACTGAGTAATAGCAATAAGGGTCCGATACTGGAGATGTCAACTAATCTATCCAACGAGGATTCCCTCAACTCAAATTTAAATCCAGGGGCTATGCCCTTTACTCCCATGGTCAACCCCTTTGTGCCTGCAGCGACAAATGCCAACACTAATCCGTTCCAGGATAATTTCACCAACAACAAGACACAAGATAATAATCAATTACCAGGTAATGAGCATGGAACAATCTCGAGTGAATGAATTCAATGGGCAAACGTTGGAATATCTAAGATGTTACAACTTCTGAAATAATCTTTATATTTCCAGAATAAAATAATTAGAATAATTGGTCTATGAAATAATTTCCGAGTTCTTGTTTAAACAGTTAAATATGAATATATATTTTCATTTAACTCAGGTTTTAATCACTTTCTCACGATTTAAATTCATAGTATTTTGGTAGAAAATAAGTAAAGTATAAAAACTTGTTTTATTATTATGTTGTATTATAGATGGGGAAATTTTGCTCTTTACCTCTTCGCCACTGATTTTCAGTTCAAGTTCTGAAACTTGATGTGCAAATATAGGGGAGAGTTTGAACTTGGATCCCCTCAAAATGAGTTTTTGAATAATAAATCTCCAGCAGGTGCCCACTGAATTCTTCAATGAATTAAATTCCCTCCCATTAATTTAATTTATTATGATTTAATTTCCAATTTGTTCCAGATCTTCTATCATAAAAGTTATAATTAAAAAAATACTTTGATGATGAAGAATGAAGAGATAAATACCGATGGAATAATTACCAGTTTGCCCCTGGCAAACGTTAGGTATCCCTGACGATTATAATGGTAAAAATGATGATTGAGATATTGAGTAATGAGTTTGATCGATGACAAGAGTGGAGGAATGAAGAGTGTAAATAAACAGACGGCGATTACCCAAATAACCGTGAAAAAGATAATTGGAATGATGGCAGTGTCCTTGGGTGGTGCTGCTGGAATACCCTCAACCCCTTGAAGAACCTTTACGAATAGAAATATAAAAAAATGATAACTCTCCTTAACAGGATCATTTACAAGAGGAAGACCGGAGAAATGTAAAATAATATATAATGTTAATTTCAATTATAATTATAGTGGCAAACATAGACGTCAAATTATGCCCGTCATAGTAATTAAATGCTTACAAACACTAAACTAACTTTTTAGAAGAAAAGAAAAAACATTGATGGGATATCGCCTATTTATAACATTATTTGATTCAGAAGTGAAAAAGTATATTACACTCACACACTACGCAAACACCCTATACTCTAGTGTATGTTACAAATTCGTCATTAAATTAATTTCCCCTTTCGTTCCATCCGATTCAGTGTATGCAAACTCGACATTTGTCATTTTAATTAAAGGGCGAGAAGGAAATTCTAGATTTTAAACGGTTTTTTCACAAAACATTTGCACAAGTTTCTCAAAAACCCATTCGTACGGATATAATTATGAGAATTACATGTTCTTTTCAATCGTCAAACAATTGTAACAGTAAAAATTATAAAAATTATCAGAGGATTGTCCATTTTTTAAAATCAATCAGGGAGGACGAATGAGTGAAATTAAAATCATTTCTTCCGTACTCTATTTTGGGGCGTGCACTCACTAGTCAAGTGATTCAACATTTTTAATTACTCGCTCTGTTATCCTTCATCCGGAGAAAACAAGTATCCTGCGACATTTACGTTAATGATTATTACTGCAGAAATTGAATAGTTGGCACACGTGAGTTGAGATATCGGTGAGAGTGAAATTATTGGAAAATAGTCACTGCTAGATGATTTTATTTTCACGGGGATGATTTATGATATTCGGCCTAGTCACTGGCCTTTCAGTGACACTTGAAAGCGATCCATTGAGAATGAAAAATGTGAGAATGATTCACGGAATGGTAATTTTTTTTTTAATCAATAAAAATAATTGATGATTAATCAGTGGCTATTTATTAATGGTAAAGTAACACGTGATATAAACACCTGGAGTTATTCCCATGGATTAAGTATTTAATGAGAGAGAAATTATTTCCGTTTTCTGCAGTTGCGATTGTTATCTTATTTTATTATTCTTCATGTAATGAACATTGAAAATCTGCATCAATACGTCTTTTTATAATGGGAGCATGTTACTGTCGTGTAGAATTTAATTCAGGATTTCAACAGTTTATTTTTCTTTTTTCGATTAATTTAATTCATTATTGTAAATTGTGAATACAGAAATGTTCATGGAGAATTGTGAGAATTATAATCCCCCTTTTGTTGAACGTTCCCCCAGTTTTCGTGGGTTAAATGTGGCGGAATTAATCTTCCTGTAGTCTAAATAACATGGTGTTAATATGATACGTGAAAATGATTTTAAATGTTGTGAGAGAACAGTTCAATGAGAACTAATCATCGATCGTGTCTATGTGAAATGAAAATACCACATTGTAAAAAAAAGAAATGCTTGTATGTAATAAATACTTAATACAGAAATTTCTTATGGTTTTGTCGACTCAATTATTCCAATCATTTTTTTATCTGTATTTTTTCAATAATTAAACTTCAATTACGCGTAAAAAAATGCCAATTAAATATTATTATTATTATTATTTCAAATAAATGTTATATAATTATTTACTTAGATTGAAGAACTATCAATTTCACGAGAACAAATAATAAATAAATAAATACAATAATAAAACAATTTTTTTCAAAGTCGAATGAAAATAAAGTTTCCTTCTTCAGTCGATAACCTCCCAGCCCCTATAACCAGCTGTCAGACAATTTCAAAAATTCCCCAGCTGTCCACGAGATACCTCCCCCCTGAATTTCCCCTCCATTCACCAACTCCCACCACCTCCTCCCTTATTGGACAGGTCATGTCAGAGTGGGAGTTTTATCCATCGAAAATGGCTGACGACGCAGCAGTATGTAATCCAAAAATCTCCATTGACTCGTGATAAACAATTACCCCAGGGCACAAAGACTCATCTGCCCCCAAAGTTCACCCCTCCCCCAGTGCACAGAAAACCCTTAAAAACAATGATAACCCCGAGTAAATAACAAGAAAAGAAAAGCCCTTGTGATTCCTCGAGTTCCGTCTGTCAAGGCAAGCACGAACGAGTCTCAACCCGTTCTGACATGTCGTGTCACAACTTCCTCTGACGAATACCTCACCCCCAGTGCAATTGCCAATGCCACAGTGGAAGTGGTGTAATTATCAACGAATTACCCGCAAATAATCCATGACTCTTGTTAAAAATTGAGTGAAAAAAAAAACGGAGTGAATGGAAAGGAGTAAATAAAAACACCGTCACACCTCGACTATTTTTCACGACTCAAAGAGTACGCAATATGATAACTTTCACTTCCCCTCGTATTTCATTATCAATAAACGGTACGTCGAGTGCTCGGTGGATTGTTCGTCTATCCAGTGATTTCTTTATGCGTGGAGAATTCACACGATCTTGGGAAACGATTGAATAAGACATTTGAGCAAACACGCGTGACTCATTTCCCCGCCCCAGCGATAAAAAGTTGCATCTCACTTGTTTCATTAAATTCAGTACAGTTGGTCCTTGTCTTGAACGCTCGATTGCCAGATTAAGAAGACATGCTAACGGGGCAAACGAGTCTGTGCGTCAGTCAACCAGCAGATAAATTGAGTGTCCCAATAATAATAAAGTTCAAACAAGTGGAATTAAAATGAAGAGAAATAGACATTAGGCGAGTGACACATTATTGACTGGTTGGTCATACGAGGAGTCATTTAATCACTCCGAATAATCGGTTGGAGTGAATGATAGAGAAACTTGTGAGTGATAAAATGCCTGTGAGGTTGGGTAATTATGGGACAGCATTTAGCTAGCTTCCGAGAATTCTTCAGAATGAACAAACAAGCGGAAGCATGCAATATCGATTGTAATAGTCCGAATATCAACGACATGGGAAATAATGAGGTTGATAATCACGATAATGAGAATAATGGTAATCAAAATGGGCATGGTACATTGTCGAACGAGGATAATAAGCAAAATCGAAATATTGACAACGAACAATTGAATTTATCGTTGGATAATCATAATGCTAGATTTGAAACTATTTATAGTCAACCTATTGAGTCCCAGGAGCAAGGCAAGATTTGTAGCAATGGAAATTTTGGTGGTGCTTATGAGGCCGATTTGAAGCAACAGGAGCCAGGCTGCAGTAGTTCTGGGGGAAGTGATAGTAGTAGTAGTGCTGAGGATAGTCCTGGTAATCCTGTTTTGAGGAGAACCTCCAAGACACTTTCCTTTGGCAAGAGAAAAAGTAAGTTTGTTTTTTTTTAAATAAATCTTTTTATATTTATATATATAATGAGAACAGAATTTAATTTCTTCGATCTTTAACTATCAATTTTTAGAATAGTGACACTAGTTTCACAGACAATTCATTGAATACCAGAATTTTTAGGAACATGGAGCCGACAATCCCTTTATTTACTCTAATTAATGATTAATTATGAAATTTTATCATTGATTTTATTCAAATGTCAAGATAATTTAAAAATCAGGCAGTTGTGTTTTTAATATATTGTATTGAATTGAATAAATATTCCGAAAAACAGCACCCACATTTTCTAAAAATATCATATCAGAAGCGAAATGCTGAGGGGGAGATAACTAGAATTGGAGAGTTTTATTAAATATCAATTGATTTAAAAAATTATTCATTTTCTCAAAATGAGAAATAGAAAATATTGAAGGAATGTACGTTGAATTTCAGTCGGACAATTCTCAACAATCTAATTCTCAATCAACATGTGACACTCCAACTGTCCATATTCTCAATACGAATATTATTTTTAAATAATTTTTCTAGGTAAACAACGTGATAAAGATCAAAATCCAGTGTGCAATCATGCGTTATCTTCCAAGAAGAAACGAACGAATTGGGTCCTAAAATTCAATTGCGCCAAGAATAAAGGATCAAAAAATACTGATATACCAGAGCAATCGAATAACAGTTCAGAGTGCGTTTGTACGGGCTACAGGAGAACAGAGGAGCATCCCATGGGTGCTGGTGTTGTATTCAACAACAGATCAGCACCCCAGAGTCCTGAATTGGGACCCCTACCACCTAGTCCTGTTATCGATTTATCGAGATTTAATCCCGCTGAATTCCCAATGGAGGTGAGCCAATCGTAATTCCCATAATGACTTTATCCTCTTAAATTAATCTCATCAACGATTCGATAATTATCAGTCGATCCTCGATCATCGCAATTAAGGGATCACCCGGTGCTTTTATTATTTCAACCCTAATTTCTTTTATTTTCACACAATATGATATGCTCATGCAATATGGACATACTTTTAAATTCAAAGTATAAAGTTGAGTGAAGATAAACTTTTATTACCAGTGGAATTGATAAGAATGGATTGTTGCAGGACTGCGATGAAAGAGCGAGACAGGAGAGAGCTAAAGAGATGGAGGAGGGGGTGGAGCCGCCACCCGGTTATCGGCCTAATTATTCATCAGCAATTCAAGTCTATCCCAATGGCATCACTGTTGATAGTCTAGCTGCGTTATTCCAGACACATGCTGGCATCCACGCAGCTGCTCTCACTGCGTTATCGCAGATTGATTTTACTTTTGTTCCCAGAATTGAAATACCGGCTCATACTCAGGCAAGTCCCACCACCTTAAATAATTTATCTTTACTAATCACTTAATTATCCAAGCGCAATCTTCTCGGGGATTTCATTGTCCAATCATTAATTTATTTACAGGTCGATTACGTTCACTGCCTAGTGCCAGATTTGCGTTCAATAACGGCCTGTTCGTGTTACTGGGGTAAAATGGATCGTTACGAAGCTGAAAGTCTCTTAGATGGCAAACAAGAGGGAACATTTCTTCTTCGAGATTCAGCCCAGGAGGAATTCCTCTTCTCCGTGAGCTTCCGAAAATACGGAAGATCTCTTCACGCGAGAGTAGAGCAGTGGAATCACAAATTCAGTTTTGATGCCCACGATCCCGGTGTCTACGCCTCTGAAACGGTAATTATTTCTACATTAAATCAGCTCTATCCCTACAATAAATTCAAAGATTATTGATAGGAATTCTCGCAATTCTGTATTAATGAGTCAGCCGTATACAATTATCTGTTGTGCCTCCAGGTTTGTGGATTAATTGAACATTACAAGGATCCATCGTGCTGTATGTTCTTCGAGCCAATGCTCACGATTCCACTGCATCGGAATTTCGCATTTCCCCTTCAACATCTCTGTCGCGCTGTCATCACAACGAGAACAACGTACGATGGCATTAACAAGTTACAGCTGCCAAAGACACTTAAAACTTATCTCAAAGAGTATCATTACAAGCAGAGGGTACGTGTGAGACGATTGGACAGTGAGAATGATATTATGATGGACAGTAGATCCGTATCTTATTTACCAGTGATTTGAATTGCATCGAGTTTTCGTCGTGCGTCGAATATTTTATTGAATAATGATTTTAGGAGGGAAATAAAGGAACGCCTATTGACTCGTTAGTTTAGTGGGAATATCTGGGGGCTCAGGATGATTATCACATTTTTGATACTTTGAAAACTTTCACTCGAGTTTTATCCCAGCATCACCCATTATCAAGATAATCACGAAACTAACGAGATCTTGTTTTGGAGGAGTTTTTGTTGAATAAATTTAAATAAAATGGATCCATTCAGTTGGTTTTCCCATTTTCTCACTACTCATGAGAATTCATCCTAAAGAGTACATTATCGTCATCCTGGCAGTCTTATTATTGATGTAACATCGAAGAGAGAATTGTTTTGTTTGAAGAGTTGATAACCAGGAATTTGTAAAAGTTTATTTGCATTCTAGAATGGATGACAGCTTGTAGATGATAAGGATTATTAACAGTCTCCAGACAGTATTGGAAGATAGTAAAGGGTACCCATATGTTAATCACAATTTTTGCAATTAATCAATGATTTACATCGATTGAGGGTGAATTTATTGCAGAAAAATAATGAGAAGAGCTTTACTCAATAACGTGATTTTACTTTCAACAGCGTCATGCTCATGATTAATGATTATTTAATGCGTAAAAATGTGAAAATAACTCTTCCCACGCTCGCGGTATCAACGTGATGCATTTATTATTACTCCTATCGTGCCTACTTATATTATCAATAATCATGTATGATGTGAATGTAATTTTAATTGATTAACTCATTTGTTGAAAGGTGAGTGATTTCTTTTCGGTGAAAATAATTCAAGTATAAATTGAAATTTCGATCATCCAAATTTCATTCAGGTTTAGGGAAAAATTAACTCATGTGAATTAAAAAAGGAAAGAGTTTTTATTTTTATCGATAAAAATTAAAAGTAAAAAATTAATTAGGGAAATTTAAGCAGTAGCCTAAGGGTTGGGAAATTGGCAGCTAATTAGGGGTAAATAATCGAGGAAAAGACGGAGAAAAATCAAATTTTTTAGAGAAAAGAATAATTGGTTTCTGTCTTCTGTCGTTGATTATTCAAAATGATTGTGTAATGTGGATGAAGATTCAATATTTATTGATCATATATTCATGACACTCGGACCAAGGCTTTTATTTGTGTTGGATCCATTATGGGAGCCACTTTAGTCTCGATAATAATGACTCAAATAAATAAACACAAAGTGAAAGTTCAAGTAGTGATGAAAATAATCGAAAATGAAGCGTAGAATATTCCGAGACTAATGAACAAAATGATAAATTTGTATAAAGAACGAAGTTAATTATTCTATCCCTGTTGAAATGAAAAAAGAAAATTGTTGACAATGTCGGTATTAAAATCACCGCCCAAAACTTACAATTAAACAAAAAGACTGAGAAAAAATAATTGATTATTGCCAAAATATCTGTATTTAGCCTGATTTTTCGATATAAAAATTGATGAAAAATAATAAATCAATTGTCACAGTTTTATCATTCAAGCAATATAGTTATGAATATGTAAATAATGTAGGTTTATTCTGTCGCAAGCTCTGCCCGTCTGCACAGGTAGTTTGAGTAATCCATGTTAACAATTGTAATTATTACTGGCGAATAAATAAACTTGTGGTAGTAGGTAACAATATGTTGTAGTTGAATATGAAGAGAAGTCCAAACATGGCGAGGAAGAAGATGTCTGAAATATTTGTTCAGGAAAACATTTTTTTTCGAGATCAATTGAGGGAACAAGATTTTTTACGAGAAAAAAAAGAAAACCGTTCATTCCAGAATTACACCGGAATAAAAAACTGCTTCACGAAAATCGTCTCGTTGGATGAATGAATAGACAATCAAGTCTTTAAAAAAATCTCCATGCATTTTTTCATCAAAGGATACTCATAAAATACCTCTCCCACTTGGCAACCATGTACAACTCAGTCACAATTGTGTACCTGAAGTACCAGTATGCGAAAAACGACCAAATACTGTTTAAAATTCCACCCATCGCTTCTGCAAATTCCCCTCAGGCCTCGACTTGTTTTTCAATGTTCTCGTTTTCCGATAAACAATCGTCCGTCACTTTTAGGTTATGATGTACAAATTACACCTCAAGGTTATCAACTCCTCCCTCAGTCTCTCCCACCAGAGCCCTTATCTAAGGTATGATACAAGCAGGTATTGTCAAGCCAAAAACAGGGGACAAGTTCTCTCAGGCGGCACGAGACAGCGCGGCGGTCACTATCACCTTCCCCTCATCTCCATGTCATCCCCACTCTGCAGCTGTTCGGCACTGGTGGGACTATTTAAAAAATGACAATTCAAAATAGCAGTAAAAAATGTAAAATATGGCCTTGGTTTATGGGATGTGTGGTATCTACATGACCTCAAAGTTTCAAAAATAAAATAAACTATAGAAGCATTACCCAGTCTCCAAAAATCAGGCAATAACAATAAATAAATTGATTCCTCTTATTTTTTATTAAAAAATAACAGCGACTTACAGGTGATGCAGCAGTTTTCGCAAACGAACCGGCACTCGAGCTGACGGGATTAGAAAACAGAACGTAATTCAATGTATCTGATACTCCCATTCCCGTTTCAGAGATCCAATCGAAGTGTTTTTGATGGTCAA